TACGTCCTTAGTAGGTCAAGGAGGATAGGAACTGCTCGCGGGTTGCCTAGGCCCTGACAGTTCCAACTAAGGTGACTCATGATCCTTGGTAGGCCTGATTCCCAGGGCCTACCTTTAAAAAATGAAGATTGGAGTTTCTAGTGTTGGTGTCATCTGTTGAAGGAGAATGTTGGGCGTTTTCGTTTGGTGGGGGAAGGACTGCGTGGAGATCGCTAAAACCACACTTTTTGCTTGCTGCTGTAACGTTTAGATCCTCATGATCTTCTTCCATGGCTGAGTGAACAACACTTCCAGATGCAGTGAAAGATACGGCTTGAAGCTTGGATGTAATTACCATATTTTGAAAGATTTTAACCATAATATTTTTCCTTTTTTGAATTTTTGTATTCTCTGGAGATTGATGTGATTTGTTGTTATTAGGAATATTCCATCCTTGATTTACATGAAAACTCAAATTTTGTGCATGGGAGGGGATACCATGTAGATATTCTTGGCTTGAGTCATCCCGTAACCACCATGAGCTTCTGCCAGTGCTTCTACCGTCAGCTCGGAGTGTTGCATTCCAGTTGCGTTTCCCATCGTCCTCGGGAAGGGAAAATAGGTTATCGCAGCAATCCTCTAGATGGCCCATGACGCCATAGAAAAAGCAAAATATCCCCATACGTTCATGTTTGAAGAGTATTGTAAAGGCTTCACCGCCTACTCTTTTGATATGTTTATCCTTCTTTAGAGGTACTCTCACATCCAAGAGAACACGAATGCGCATGTGGCTCCACCAGAGGGTCGAGTTATTCTTTTCATCATATTCCAGAAAGACGCTAATATAGTTCCCAATTTGTTGGCCAACATTGAGAGACATGAAACCCGATGGTATGTTGTGTATTTGAATCCAAAAAGGGACCGTGAATAGAGGGATCATATTAGGTAGATCACCAGGTTGGAGACCGCCTAAAATAAGATGTCTATAAAAGGACCAAGGGCATCCTTTGAGCACCTTCTACATGTCCATTGCATGAAAAAATTTGAACATAAACAGGCCTAGATTTATCTCTTGAATGAAGACTCCATGTCTGGGCTGCCAGATCTCAGCCATACATACCTTCATAATCTGGACTCTGATGCTACGTTCAGTAAGAAAACGACATATAAGGCATAGGGAGGCATTGATGGTAGTGCCCCCATGACTGTCATTCTGAATGATGAGATCGTCTTCTTCATGGTCAAGGTTGAGGTTGTGTAGGTCAGGAGTGGTCATGGTTTGGTCAGTTAGGTTAAAACTTCTCAGCGAGGAGAGAAAGCATCCCACAAGAGGAGAAAAAAAAAAGTCAAAATTGATATAAGTGGTCCTTTAATTTTTAAAAAATATTCAATGTTATCTTTTCATATAATTTCATTAATGTTATTAGTGTTAATTTAGACAGAAAGGCAATATTAAACATATTTTAAAAATTAAAAGGACAAATTGAACCTTTTAAAAATAGTAGGACTAAATTGAATCTTAAAAATAAAATAAAATAACTAAAAATATAATTTAACTTGTTTTTTAATATAAAAAATATATTTTAGATTTACAATAAATAATTTATATTGTAACTAAAAAAAATATTTTTATTTACTGGTGATATATTTTAAAATATTAATATTTAATTCATAAATAATTATGATAATTAAATAAAAATCAAATTAGATTAAAAGTAAAAAAAAAAATTCTACAAATCCTCTCATTAAAGGAAAGTCCAAAAAACACTCTCTTAGAATATAGAACTTTATACTTAATATATACACATCAATATATACTATTATATGGTCTATATCTGGTTGTTACGCATTAAGATTATATTTCAAGGAGAACTTTTGATTCAATTAGTTTGTTTTACCTTATCAAATTTTGATATTGGTTCAAAACAAATGGTGAGAGGAGATATCATTTTAGATGAGTGAACATGTCCAATGCATTATATTCAAAATTATCGACCACAGTTAAACCTTTTCTTATATTAGTTAAAGTACTCTTTATACTCTTTATATAGTATAATTTTTGTTTATAAAAAAATTACTTTTGAAACTCAAAAGTGTAACTCCTTATTAATATAATAATGGATAATAGACTTTAAATACATTTTTAATTCATGTAAAATGAATGAATTTTGATTTTAGTCTTTCATAATTATTATCCATTTTTTATCATTGTAAAATTTAGAATCATTATTTTTTGTCTCTATAAAATAAACAAATTTTAATTTTTCCTTGAAAGATATTTCTATTAATTTTTATTCTTCTAAAATATAAAGTCACTAATTTTTATTCTAACATTTATTTAAGATAATTAAATAACATTTATTTTAAGAATTTGTAATAAATTTGGAGGTGTCACATTCTGTAGATAATTATAAATGTTACTCAGAATGGTAATTCAACCTTAATATAAATAAGTAGTTAGTCTCTAAACTATCAAATTTTTATTGATCAGATGATTTGAAACAGGTACAAAAACTTACAGATAAGTAATAAGTACTAGTCTCTAAACTGTCGCGTTTTTATTGTGTAGATCATTTGAAGCAGTACAAAACCTTATAGATAAGTAATAAGTATTATTGCACAAGTTTCCATTCAAAAACTGAGTATTCTGTGTAAACAAGTTGTTTTAGGCTTATTACACTTCTAGTCCCAGGTGTTTATAAATAGAAAAATATGATTTTAATGCTATCTTAAGATATTTTGAATAAAAGCAGTGATACATAACCTCTAAAATATTTTAGCTATACAAGAGGAACTATAAATAAATACAAAGAAAACCTTAGAGAAATATATGAAGAATTGAAGGCTTTTGCAATGAATGACAACACTATTCTATTTTAAGTGCTCCAATATATAGTATTCTTAAGAATTGAATACTGTATATTAATAAAGCTATGAGAAAAAAGAAAAACTTGAATGGTTTGAGCTTGCATTAAATGTGTAGAGACATTCCACATTATTTTTTTTAGGAAGCTGATATTTTTAATTCTAATATGCAAACAACTTTGTAAAATCAAGAAAATTTGGTCGAGTTAATTGAGCAATATACACGAGTTATTGTAAACTAGGTTGATTCTTTGGATCAAAATAAAAATGAAACTTTGTAAAAGTTGTGTATCTGTGTAATTGCTTGTTCTTCTTTTATGCAGACATATTATTGCATAATTTGCATTAACATAATATTTTGCTTCACTGTTTTTTGATTGAGTGCATTGCCTACATGTGTTTTGCACGAGTAATATTCTCATATTAAAATTTTATAAAGAAAAAATATCAAATAAAATATAAATACATTTTCTGTTGAAAACAAAAAATTCCAATACTTCCTATATTTAGCAAATGTTAAATGAAAAGATAAGTTCAAAGATATAAAAGATGATTTAAAATTATTCATTTTGTTTTAGAGTTTATCTCATTTTAATTGTACAAGGTATCTTATTTTGCAAACGCTTCTTCTAATAAGTCATGAATGAAAATGCTTTTGTAGTGTAAGATCTTAAAAAATTTCATCATAAATTTGCATTGGAGTAGTGAAAGATTATTTTTCGTTTAATTTACGGAAATTAATCTATAAACAAGAACAACCTATTATTCGCATCAAAACTACAAGATGCTCATTAAGCAAGGGTTAAAATCCTATCTTTTTCCTATGGATCACTTTTGTTCTGGAGATTATTCACCTTCCACATTATTATATCAAGCATCCAACATTGCATGAAGATGTTTTTACACCAACAACCTTGGAGTTTCTTTGTAGTCCTTTATAAACTTACCGATATTCTGTCTTCTTCCACATGATGTTTGTTTATTCACGAAGAGAATAAAGTCATGATCCAAGAAATCAGAAGTTTTGAAACTGGAATTTGTAAATGTCATAACCAAAAGTGACTAAAGTTATTGGACACAACCTAATAGAGAATGAGTATTACACATGAGGAATCAAATATGGTTCAAGAACACATGGTGACCAAGTATCTTCTCCACCCAATCCCACGTGCTTGTGATCCAAATTAATCTTTAATACCATAAAACATCAAAGATGAGAAATTGCATAATAAAAATAATAATTAAAAAAAAGATTAAATTTGCTTTTAGTCCATTGAAAATATTGTATCGTTTTGGTACCTTATTCATATAAATGTGCCAAATGTCGTCCTTGTCCTTCACAAAAAATCATCTCTTTTTAACCCGTCATTTATGGAAATAAAGACCATGTATGACATTAAATAAAATAGGTATCACATGATAATTTATTTTTGTAGGGCTAAAACTCACATTTACCCTATTTGCAGAGACTAAACATGTGTCCCTTAATAATAATTTCTATGAAAGTTGAAATAATAAAGAAAAAATGACAATATTTCCATCTCATAAAAGTCTTGTTACATATGGCTATAATGTGGCTTTCAAATCATCTAATTGTTCATGAATATATTTGTGTGAATAAATTCGTGTCACAAAGAACAAAACGCAACCACACTATTAAGAATGAAGCACAAATGAAAGAATATAGATCACATACGGTTACAAAATGTTACCACTAACACACTTTTTGGGAAATATAGAACTGTGTACCCCTGATTTTTGGGCTCAAGTGTAGTTTTCTGCCTGATATTTTAAAAATGTTATGCTACGTTTACACCTTAACCCATAACATTATTCTGACTTCCATCGTGAGCAGTCATCACTATAAATTTCATGGATTAAGGTGTTCAAAAACAAAACATACAGGGGAAACTACAGTAAATTCAATGGTGGTGGTGCACAAAATGGTGACAAGGATTTTGTTATACTCAAGGATATTTTGAAAATAAAATTTACAAGATACCATAAATTACGATGTGGCTGACAAATGGGCAGTGTAAAACTAATTCCTAATTTCGAGCAACACCTCAACATTCTGATACCAAACCATCGCAGTTGGGCATTGGAGAAATTTACAATGAGACGATAAAACTAAAAGAAATTTACCGGTTTAAATCAAATTTAACTTGGAATGCTTAGAGAACTAATAAACAGAAAATCAACCACAATGATTCATAAAACTAATCATCAGGATGCCATTTTCGTACCGGTGGTCCAGTCAATGTCTGAAAGCCAGGTGTAGTTGAAGGTCAAATAAAATGATGAGCAGAATAAAGTTTGTTGGGCACATCATGTGCTGCTGTAATCATTAAAACAATATTAATCAGCACAAGAGTATTATCATCGGTCACATGCTAATAAAATGACCACGTAACAGACCCCCAAAAGGGTAACACTTTACTACAGGAAAATTGGTCAGCTGTGACGAACTATTGAGTGCCTCAACTATGCTGTTTCTGTACAAAATTATGGACAGTGACAACTCGAATCTACTCATTGGTTTCCATGGGGCTGGGAGTAGAGGTCTGATCAGCCGAAGTAACTGCTTCCTCCTGCCCTGGCGTTACAGTCTGATCCCCCCCTGGCATTGCGGTCTGATCCCCCCCTGGCATTGCAGTCTGATCCAACCTTGGACGAGGTTTTCGAAAATATTTGCCGACAAATGATTCAGCAAGATCTGGATACTTCTTCCTTATCCAGTTATCCAAGCACTTCCGGTAGGAAAAGTCTTCTTTTTTACCATCTTTCAAAACCACATATAAACATCTGCTTTCCTGAAAACTACTGTGCCTGTTAACCTGTTACAAGTATTACTCCCAACATTAAACACAGACCAACATAAAGACAGACAATAATTTTAAGTTTCAATGCAAATGGATACATAGATGATGTATTAGGGCGGCCCAGTGCACGAGGCTCCCACCTAGTGGGGTCTGGGGAGGGTAGATGTACGCAGCCTTACCCCCGCAAGCGGAGAGGCTGTTTCCAGGACTCGAACCCGTGACCTCTTGGTCACTAAGCAGCAACCTTACCGTTGCGCCAAGGCTCACCCTCTCCATAGATGATGTATTGCGTAAACTAAAACTGATACAGGTATGCAAGGAAATAGAGAAACAAAATATCCTGGATCTTTTGGAAAGAAACTCGTGTATCTAGGGCACACCTACAATGATATCAACCATATCTGAATGAAAGGTGAGTTGGAGTATACCATGACATAATCAATTCCAACACCCATTTTGGTTTCTTTATCTGGATGGTGCTCAAAGACATTCTCAAGTACAAAAAGTTGATCTTCAGCAGCCAGCGGGTCCCCATCATTGTACCTTCAACAGGAATTTATTAAAAAATTATACTCCAACTTATGATACAAAATTCTGAGAGTAAATGGAAAGCATAAGAAGGAAAGCACCGAAGGCTTTGATAGAGAATACTGCAGAAAATTTGACTAATAACACAAGCTTTTATTACGAGCAAAATTTAAAGTATTTAATAGCTATATAGCTAGTCTCTTGTTCAAACCAAAAATATCTACCAGAAAAATTGTGGCAAGGTTCCTAAAATAGCAAGAATGACACCTTGAAAAGTTTCAAATTAAGTAACTTGCTATTCAGCGTAGGTAAAAACCAAGGTGGCAATAAAATGTCCAGGCATAACATGAGCATAAATAACCAGATACCATTATATTGGAGAGCTAGTATTTACTGTCATGAGTAACTTACCCCTGTTGTTGCATGATCCGTCTGATAGACTGCATAATGGGTTCAATATCCTTCAGAATATCCTGCTCCTCAGGTGAGTATATGTCCAATCTCTGTCCAGGTGCTCTAGGCGGGCGATTCCTATTTTTCCAGTCACCGGCATTTGAACCCCGACCTTGCGAACCTTCAAAGCGATTTTTCTTAAATGATTCTCTACCTTGCTTTCCCCACTGAAAACTTTTCTCACTGTCTGAATTAGCTGAAGCAATATGTGATTCCCATCCCTGTGAACTTGCATTTTGATTTGACTGATTATGGGAATCCCAAGCTTGACTTTCTGAGGATTTGGATTTTCCCCAAGAGTTATTGCCACCTTTTGATTCTGCTTTCCAATTACCAGAGCCCCAAGCATTCTCTTGGGGCTTTTCTGACCCTCCATCTGTTCTTTCAACCTTATTTCTTCCCCATGCAGACCTATCATCTAATTCAGTTTTTGTCTGACCTATTTTGTTTGCATCCCAAGCACCAGACCCAGAATTGTCTTTTTGGCTAACATTATCTTTCCATTTACCTGTGCCCCAAGAATCTTCTAGCACATTTTCAGATCCACCAGCTGGTATTTCAGACTTATTCTTACCCCAACTAGACCATTCATTGGATTTTGTTTTTGTCTGATGTGTTCTGTTTGCACCCCAAGCACCAGCTTCAGAATTGTTTTCTTGGGTAACATCATTCTTCGTACTAGAGCCCCAAGTATCTAGCATATTTTCAGATCCACCAGCTGGCACTTCAGACTTATTCTTTCCCCAGCCAGACCATTCATTAGATTTTGTTTCTGTCCGACCTGTTTTGTTTGCATCCCATGCACCAGACCCGGAATTGTCTTTTTGGGTAACATCATCTTTCCATTTACTCGAGCCCCATGAATCTTCTTGAACATTTTCAGATCCACCAGCTGGCATTTCAGACTTATTCTTACCCCAACCAGACCATTCATTAGATTTTATTTTTGTCTGATCAGTTTTTTTAGCACCCCAAGCACCAGACCTGGAATTATCTTCTTGGGTAACATCATCTTTCTTCTCACAAGAGCCCCAAGAGTCTTGCATATTTCCAGCTGGCACTTCAGACTTATTCTTTCCCCAGCCAGACCATTCATTAGATTTTGTTTTCGTCTGATCAGTTCTGTTTGCAACCCAGGAACCAGACCCAGAATTATCTCTGTGGTTAACATCGTCCTTCTTCCTACCCAAGCTCCAAGAATCTTCTTGCACATTTTCAGATCTACCAGCTGGCATTTCAGACTTGTTCTTTCCCCAGCTAGACCATTCATTAGATCTTGTATTCGTCTGATGTGTTCTCTTTGCACCCCAAGCACCAGACCCGGAATTATCTTCTTGGGTAACATCAGCATTCCTCTTACCATTGCTCCAAGAATCTGGCACATTTTCAGATACACTAGCTGGTATTTCAGATTTATTCCCTCCCCAGCCAGACCATTCATTAGATTTGGCTTTTTTCTGATCTGTTGTTGTGTTTGTATCCCAAGCATTAGACCTAGTTGAAGAGTCTTCTTGGAGAACATCAGTTTTCCTTCCCCAGGCAGACCATTCATTACTTTTTGTTTTTGTCTGATCTGTTGTTGTGTTTGTATCCCAAGCATTAAACCTAGAAGAGTCTTCTTTGATGACACCAGTTTTACTCCCCCAGGCAGACCTTTCATTAGATTCTGATTTTGTCTGATCTGTTGTTTTATTTGCATCCCAAGCAAACCTAGAAGAGTCTTCTTGAACGACATCAGTTTTCTTCCAAGAATCCTCTTGGGCTCTTTCAGATTGGCCATCTTTTATTTCAGTTGTTTTACTTACCCAACCTGACCACTCATTGGTCTTTGATTCAGTTTGATTTGTATTTGTCTCCCAACCATTGGATGTTGAAACATTCAATAGTTCAAGATTCTCTTCAAAAACAGCTTCATTACCAGAGGTACGCTGTGGGGACATGTCCCAGTCCATATTTTCTTCATCCCATAAATCATCAACATCGTCACCCAAACCAGCATTGGTTTCTTCTTCCCCATTGGAAATGCTTTTCACCATGTGAAGAAAATTATAGACATCGGTCCCTTCAATTTCTTCAGATTTTATCTGCAGAAAAAAAATATCAATATTCAAATAATGTTTACCCAAAACACCAATCCTTATCAAGTCCAATAATCAGAGTATAATCAAACACCTCATTTGCATCCCATACAACGTCAAATTTTGATCCTGTGCCAACTGCCACATGTTTACCCCAGGAACAAGAAGCAACTATGCTTGACAGAGAGTCAGTATGGCATTTCTCCGCAGCTCGCTCAAAACATTTTTTAGGGGTCTGCATAGTCACAGATAAAGAGTAAGAATAATAGTAACTTAATACATCTCATGATTACAACAATTAACAGGGCAGCAACTTACAAAGAGAGTTGCATCTGTGAATGGTACTTGAATATTTAATTGGCGAGACAGAGCTTTATATCCACCTGTATTAAAGCCAACCAAATTCCCACCACAAGTCATACTGCTAGCTAACAGAATGAGATGCTCTCTAAGAACACCTTTTGCGACCATTTTCACAGATGATGCTAGACGCTGCAGGCAGTCACAAAAGGATGAGATAGGAATAAAAGGTGGAGCTCTGAGTTGGGGATACTTAAGATTGGATCATCAAGACTCTTTCATCAAGACATACTAATTGATATTATGATTCACACATTTCCTATTAAGAGAAAATCAAAGCATTCCAAAGTCCTAATGGGAGGATAACAAAACTTATAAACCAAAGATTATGTACAAACCTTAGAAGAGACATGTTAACAATAACAATATTCCTGAAGCAGCCATAAAAGAACAACACAGAGAAGACAAACTTGAAACTACTCCAAATCAAACTTAGGGTCAAGTGTACAAGAAACCTCCACGAAGTTATGAACATCACACTTCAATACACATAAGAAAAAGTTTAAACTAGTCATGTCTGTCTAATATAAAACTCATGCAATTTGATCAATGTACAAAAATAAAAATTATTTTTTTCTCTAATATTACAGAGTAGACTCAAGTAAAACCAAAGTTGAATATAGTTCAATAATTTCTCTTTCATCAATCTCTAAGTAAATGATATATTTCCAACATAAAAGAATAATCTTGAATAGAATAGAGGTGGTTTCGGCAAAGTAGAAAAACAAACATGCAAGGAACAATAACTGAATCCTTTCCCAACAAAATGTTCATCCAAAATATGGTAAAGGTCACATACTAACTTGCATTTATTTCATATTTATAGTTATGAACCTGTATGGAATATTATTGATGAAAGGTGGGATAAACAACTCCATAGACCCTTACATGCAGCTGCATATTACCTCAATCCCCATTTCCATTATGACCCTAATTTTAGAGATGATGATGTTGAGGTTAAACAAGGGTTATACAATTGTATGACAAGGTTGGTGAGTGACTTGAATGAGAGGAGCAAGATTGGTACGCAACTTGCTGAATTTCATTATGCTAGAGGGTTGTTTGGTCTTGATACTGCAGTGGCTAGTAGGAAGATTATGCTTCCTGCAGAATGGTGGGACTTCTATGGGGATGGATGTCCAGAGTTAAAGAAGTTTGCAATCCGTGTACTAAGCTTAACTTGTAGCTCTTCTGGATGTGAGCGTAACTGGAGTTCATTTGAAATGGTAATTGAATTAATGTCTTTGTTTTTAGTTGTTAATTTTTAATGTTTAGAAATTAGAGTTTTAGCCTTATAGGTAATCTTGAAATTTTGGTTTTTGTGTTCTATTTTCTAGGTTCATACAAAGAGAAGAAATCGCTTGCACCAAAGGAAGATGAATGATTTGGTTTATGTGATGTATAACTTGAAGCTAAAGAGTAAACAAGTGAAAAGAAATCTTGTTATTCCTTTTGATGAACTTCATTCTGATGATGAGTGGATAACTGAGGAAGGAGATGCTATTTTTAATGGAGAGGATGTCCAACCACCACTTAGGGATGAAAATGAAAATGTGGATGATGGTGGAAATGTTGAACTAGTTGGAGATTCAACCAATCCAACTTTAAATGACCTTGAGGATTTGGTCTTTGATGATGTGAATATTGAAGAACCCTTATCATCAAATGAAGAGGATGAGCTTGAAGAAAATGAAGATGATGATGATGCACATGCATTTGTTGGAGGATTGGACTTTGATTGATTAATTTAGATCTTGTTTTATGTTTTTGATTTGTGGACTTATGTGTTTTCGACTTTTGGTTGTTTATGTATGGTTAAGATTTGTATTATGACATTTTATTGTTGTTATTTGACTTATTTCAGACTTAGAATGTTGAAATAGTGATATCATATTGTGTGTGTTCATGTTTTTTAATATATTTTAATATTAGGTAGACTCTTACGAGTCTACGAGTCGAGTCTACCAGAGCTCCACGAGTTTGTGTAGACTCTCGAGTTTGACAACCTTGCATACTACCATCATCCAAACTGGAACTCAATACCTAAATCCCGCCTACCATAATCCCATCCAAACTAGGGAAAACTTCCTAGGACTGGCATAGCATGAATAGCATTTCTGCTTGACCCAAATCCACCCACCATAATCAAGGCCACAATTATACTAATCACTTTGTGCCACAAATAATAGTCTCAAAAAATGTGCTGCAGGATAATAGCAAAGTTTCTAGACACCAAATCCTTGAAGCCCTAATCCCCATCATTCATTATTAGGATAACAGCAAGCCAACCAAAAAGCTCCTAGGTTTGCTCAATCCTCACCAAGAAAATACATCATGATTTGGTTAACACTACTCCAAAACCAGAGGAAGAAAAACGCACTCCCAACTATCTAAGTACTTAAAAATGTGATGAATCACTCAACCCCAAGAAAAAAAAATCTTTTCAACCAACAACAGCAAACGAACAGATCCCAACACCTTTCAAGTTTTAATATTACTCAAACATCCCTCCTGAAACAGAAAACAAAGAGTGACCTACCCTTGATGACCATTAAATAGAAGTTGGTAGTGACAAGATTGCTGAAAAAAACACATGTATATTTCTTTAAATGAAAAATTCTCCCCTTGAAAAACATTCTTTTCTTTCAACTTATTAAATGCATGAAAGATGAGGTAAATTTAAGCATTGGATAAACATTCATATCAACATCAAGAAAAATCCAAACAGTTTGGCAGCAGAATACAGGAGAAAGAATATATACTTTCACGCAATTAACTGTATTGAACTTATCACATGACAATGATTATTGAATAATAAAAACATACACACATTTAACCACTTAAACTGACAGCAATGATGATTTTCAATACAGTAACTTCAATGTATGCTAAAGACCACAATCGTAAGAAAAGAACACTATGTTCCAATATATTCTTTGGAAACTAACCTGAATTGCTTGATCAAAAGTACATGATATCCCCATTAATCCCTGAATCTGCTTTATAGCATAGGGGACAGAACGGCTGGTATCAATCAAATGAAGAACAGGGAGACAGGAATCAAGTACAATTCTCCAAGCATCGCCACTCTGTTTAACAACATCCTTCTCAAGACTGATATCAAGTGCCAATTCACCATGAGAAGATTTGTAAGGGTTTCGCACCCATGTGTTTGTATCTGGACTAACCCAGATTATACTTGCAGAGCTAATGCGCGGGTCTCCTGTTTATTTGTAAGAGTAAATCAGAAACATTATTACGACAAATATATGTGATGTAAGCAATATGTGTTTAGGATTATAAATGCAACACAACATATGACACCAAAATTAAAAATTGATGGCTAAAAAATATGAACGAGAAATAAATATTTGAATATGAATGAGAAGTAAACATTTGAGAACAGCAGTGTTGGGAAAGGACAGATATGGGCCCATCCATTTGAATGCAAGACAGGTCCTCTATCAAGTATTTTGTTCTTTCTTTGAAGGCCAATGAAATTTATGATAGTGCCTATGTTTGCCAGTTGTATTTCCAATGCTTGAAGAGAATGTTCAAAGACTTGAGAGCTATCTGCCAGGCACACCACCATGATTTTACTATTCTAGGAGATACCAGTTGCATAAGTCATTTAGTTGAAATAGGCGAATTTGTTTTAGATCTTGGTGTGATATTTTATTTCAAATTTTCTACTGGAACACAGGTAAGCTTTACCTTGAGAGAGTATATTAGAATATTAGGCCTTGGAATCTTGTTGTAGTGTATTTGAATTTTACTGGATTGTAGTATTGTACTAATACTTGACCAAATCATCATGATAAATAAGACTAAGAGTCTACTTTTCTTTTAGCATTTTCTATTTTACTATATCTGCTAACAGAGTAGAGGATTTGACACCTACACTAACTGAATCCTGACAATATATATAGGATTGTAACTTTGTGACTTTTATACTTTCATCATGATTTATACAAATTCATTTTTCACTTTCCCTACAAACCTAATATGATAAAAAGGGATCATTGATCCTATTCCATTCTCTTCTGATGAGTCGATGACCAATCATATCCGTTTGATGGGACAATCTTCAAGCCTCGATTCAGATGACAACTCTGTTAAATATATGATTTGATATGAAATATTCCTTTATAATAAGGGAAACTTGTATAGTGAAAATTAGGATTCTACTATTATTACCCATTATTTTCTATTTCCGCATTTCCTTATTGTGTCCTTATTCATTGTAAATAGAGGATTACAAGTGTGGTAACACACAATTCCTATATGGCATCAAAGCTAAAGGAGTTGTAGGTTTTTTGATGGCAACATTCCACCGGCAATACTGCCGCCAGGCCCCGGCCACATGCAACATCCACATGAGCCACCAATCTCCAACATGTACATTTCTGCGTGAACAGTACCACAAATAGTTGTTGATCTCCATGGGTCGCTGTCGAGCCACTCTTTCCTCGATGCAACCACATCACCAGAGTCTCCACACTCAGGCGACCATTGTGCAATTAGTTTGCAATACACTAAGAGACATACACAAGTGAACAAGGCAACAACAATTGCATCTACATCCAGGAAAGAAAAAGGAAAAAAAGTGATGAAAGTAACAGAAGAGGAATTAGATGATGATGAAGTAGAAGAATATAACTCTAATAGTGGGAGTGATGAATTTGAAAGAGAGGAAGACTTTACTCTTGACGAGGAAGAAGATTGAACTTCAATGTTTACTTTTTTAGTTACTTTGAGCTTTGGCATTTTGTTTTCTAGACATTTTATGTTATGCTTTGTTTGAGAACTATGAACTTTTATTATTATTTATTAATGCATGAATTTGGAGTTATTTTTCTGTTTTTTAGCTTTAATATATATATTATTAATTATTTAATATATATAAATAATATATTAAAATAGCAGTCATCCCGCTATCCCACTTTTGGGGTCGACCTCCGCTCTGCTATCCGGGATTGACTACTATGATATTCATTATGATTAGAGGATTATGTGTAGTAACACCAATTCCTACAATTCCTATATCTTAAGAAAGTGGCTTAGAACCTAATTCAACCTTATAAAATCAGTTTGTAAGGTGAGAACTACTCCCCACTTATAAATACTAATATGGTCATACCTCTAGTCAATGTGAGATATCCAACACACAACCCTCATGCTAGGGACTAGACATATGCAAGTGGTTTGATAATGCCCGATAAGGCCAATATAAAAAATCATTAGAATAATCTCTAATACCATCTTAAGAAAATGATTTAAAGTCTAACTCAAACTTATAAAAGTGACTTATATGGTGGGGACTACTCCCCACTTATAAACATTGGTATGGCCGTACCACTAGTTGACGGGGGATCTCCAACACACTCCCATAACCTTTTCTCATTAAATCACCCAAAGTTCGATTGTAAAATTTTTATTGAGATGACAAGTCTAACCAATAATCAAGGTTCATCATCTTTATAAATTTGAAGCTGCTCCTCAAATTCCTTCTTGATTTTTCAAGATCAAAACACAACAACAAATTTTTTCTAATTAGAATCAATCATCACTATTTATGGAGTTGTAATCCTATTACAGCCGCAGTGGCCAGATGACATGGAGGAGATTGTAGTTCTATCCAACACCAAGTGTGCTTCAAACTTGGGCACCCTACATTTATTTGCTATCATCATTCAATCAGCAATTTCAACTAATTTTTTTAGTACATGTCCTCAACCTATAACATCAACACACCATATAAGATGTTTTCTACTCCAAATTTATGTTCACATACTTTTTCCTCTCAATTAACTAACATTCTCCATTTGTTTCTCCTTAACACTTATTTTGGACTAAACAACCACAAGCCATGGTGCCTAAGTTAGCACCAATAATGAAATTCTCAAAGCTAGTCTCCAAACTCAAGTGCATCCTATCATGCAACTAATTCTTTGCAAAACATATAGCAAACCACTACTTTTGAAGGTTCTAATCAAATTTTTATTAGCAATGGTCAAAGTCTCTCCATAATCTCTCCTGGTTCACTAATCTCTACTCAAAATCCTAATATTACCTTGTTCAAACAAAATTTTGCATGTGAAATCTATTGAAAAAATCAATAATGTCTATTTTGAGTTTCATCATATCCAATGTTTTGTTAAACCTCTAGACTCTGATGACATCTTGCTTCATGGACAAGTTGGACCCAATGGCCTCTATATTTTCAAACCAGCAGTTTGCTCCTAACTCTTTCACTTGGTCCACATTTCCTTATGCACATTGTAAATTTCCATGAGTAAATATATTTACAATAAATGTACACCCTTAGCACCTAGTACTGCTCTAGTTTGACAGGTTCAATTAGCACATTTCTCTTGCTAATAACAAAGACCAATTACCTTTTTTGCTCAACTTGTGTTGTTAAAGCCCATTGATCACATTCTCACTCTTGTCAAACAAATTACAACTCTCAAATCAATGTACAATGACTAGTGGGGGAACCTCTCCTATACCTTCTAAAAGTATCTCATTATATCTTGTTTGTGGAAGAATATTCCAACTTCACTTGGAATTATCTGCTCAAAAATAAATCCAATGATCTTTCTGTCTTTAAACAATTTAAATTCACAATTGATTTGCAATTTAATACCTCTCTTAATACCATACAAGCTGATTGGGATGGGGAATTTTGGTGGCTTTCTATGAATCTAAAGAGAATGTAATGAACCAATGTCAAGTCATATGCCCCAATACAAACCAAACTAGTGTTGTTGAACACAAGAATCAACACATAGTGGAACTTGGACACTCTTCTTAGTCAAGCTTTCTTTAGGGACCTTGCCTTTCCCACTGGCATTTCCCTCATAAACACACTTCACATTGTCGCCCTAAATATTGTTGTGCCATACACCACATTATTTAAGGAGATATAGAAGAGACAAAGGAGAAATACAAGGGGGATAAGTGATGATAACTCAAAAAATTATAAATAGGATGAGGATTTCGAGTAGACCGAATACCTTTTCGAAGAGCAACGGGCCATCCTGAGTTATCCTCACCAGGATCCGTAGCAGGGACATCTGATGGTGAAGGACATGAAACCGGTGACTCTTCAGGTAATGTTGGATCAATTTGTCGTGCACGACGTTGATATGTGACAAGAGGAGGTGGAGTAGCTTGAATAGGAGTAGTTCCGGGAATAATAGACTGAGTAACCTCTTGGTTATGAAGTGAAATTTGAGGTGGAATGGAAACATGAGAACAAACTGGCAGCACCTCTTGTACTGAAAGAGAATCATGAGTGGTGCATGAGAAAAAAGGAGTTTGTTCAAAGAAGGTGACATCTGCAGACATGTAGAATTTTCTGGTCTCTGGAGAGTAACACCTATACCCTTTCTGAAGACGGGAATAGCCTAAGAAAACACACTTAATGGCTCTAGCAGATAGTTTATCCAAACCAGGAGAGACATTATGGACAAAACAAGTACACCCAAAGACACGAGGTGAGACATGAAACAAGGGTTCCTTAGGATAAATAATGGAGTAAGGGATTTTATTTTCAAGGGAAGAAGAGGGCATTCTGTTTATTAAAAAACAAGAAGTGAGGATTGCATCACCCCAATGATGTACCGGAACATTTGCATTGAGCATTAGGGTGCGTGCAGTCTCCACAAGGTGCCTATTTTTCCTTTCTGCTATTCCATTTTGTTGGGGTGTATGTGGACATGTAGACTGATGTAAGACACCCTGTGAGGATAGGAAATAGGATAATTCAGAAGAGAAATACTCTTTTGCATTGTCACTTCTAAAAATTTTAATTATTCTCCCAAATTGGTTTTTGATTTCATTAAAGAAAGACATGAAAATAGACAATAGTTCAGAACGATCTTTCATTAGATATACCCAAGTACATCGAGAAAATTCATCAATAAATGTTATAAAATATCTGAAACCAAAAGATGTTACACGACTTGGACCCCAAATATCAAAATGAATGGTGGTGAAAATTGAGTTACATCTTTTATCGGTTCGCTTGGGAAAAGACGACCTAACATGTTTGCCTAATTGACATGATTCAAAACCTAACTCTTCTAAATTTTTAAGATTAGGAACCAAAAGTTTCAGCTTGGATAGACTTGGGTGACCCAAACGATCATGCAAGAGCTTGGGTGATAAAACAGCAACACAAGACACAAGTGGTTGTGTTTCAAAATAGTAGAGACC